GCGTTTCAGGTGAGGAAGGGTTGCAGGGTCAGGGCTGCTGCTTTCACCTGACATCTAAGTAGAGCTGAACATAAACTGCTGTGGTAGCACTTGATCATTTTAATCTCCCCTTCAACTGTTTTTTATACCACAAAGCATAATGTAGCTGGAAATTCACAAAATTAGCGCTGTGCCACTCCATAGCTAGGCTACTGGTGCTGAGCCCAGTGTGTTCCCAAGGCAAGGCTTTGGGCTGTTACACTGATGGATCCAGAGCTCTTCCTGGAAACCAAAGGGTATATAACATTGCAGTAACACAGTGACAGAATGAGCTTCGTTGTTTGACTGCCAGGATAGTAATGGTCATCACTGCACTAGCAAAGCTTTCTAGTCTGTTGAATAAATATTTTTCTCATTTGGTAAGGGTAGCCACATGCCGCAAATAACACTGAGCTCCAGATTTGATAAAGCAAGTTCCTTCACATCCAGTCCTTTTATAGCCATTGGGAAAAGTTGTTATTTTTCAGACAAAAGTAACACTTATTCCTTGCTTGGAAAAGGGATTTGTATGTATAGAGATACAAAGGGTTAAGAGTTCTTTATTAAAATCTACCCCCATGCTATAACTGTCCACCGTAACAGGAATGGCCCAAAATACAGAATTGTTGTCAGTGGTTGATGTCTCCTTCTCTGCATAATGTGTCCCTTGCACATTCAGAAAATTTAACTCTCTGCAAAGATAAAATACCAAATCACTTCTTCCTAGTATCAGAATGATGCAGCAACAACATAGTGTGCAAACCCCACAAACACCATGTCCTTTTGTATCAATTTTGAGTTTCACATTTTCAGAGACAGAACTTTGAGCTGGTTCTGAGCTCTCTAGACAAAGAACTCCAGTAGGCCTAAAACATAAATTAACAATAAATGCAATGTTAGGTATTCTACTCAGTCAAATAAAGGGCTCCTGGGAAGTTTTCTTTTCACGGAATCACATCATCATTTGTGTTGGAAGGGACCTCTGGAGATCATCTAGTACAACCCCACAGCTTATGCTAGCGCACCTGTCTTGTGGATATTTTGTGCTTCTATTAGGGCAAGATTTCTTTAACGTGAACTTGAACCACAGTAGTATATGACTATAATTGGATTAGGATGAGAAAGGTACTTAAAAACCACCCAGTTACACTGTGCTGAATAACACTTGATTTAATGGATAAGTAAAACGTTAGTAAAATTCTAACTTTGCTTGTATTAACAGCCAATTTCATGCACTTTATTTTGTCCAGAAATTTAAAAATAGATCTCTCTTTGAACTAAGTATATTTCAGTCTGTCTAGCTATCCATGGCTTGTTCCTCATCCAAGAACAAGTTGTCTTTCTCTGTGTTCCATGTGTCCCATTCTCCTGGTGTGACACATGCTTGTAACTGGATATATTCTATAAGTGAGATCTCATGACAGCTTTTCCTGTCGGGTCTTCATAATATCATTGCCCTGCAGTTGCATTCATTCAGCAGCCCAGCATGATGGCATCTTCACGTATGGGTGGGGGGAAAATGGAGAAGGTTGAAGGAGCTGCGGCTGCCTTCTGACCCCTTTGGGCAGGGTGAGCATTACAGAACCCCAGTGTACACGTTGACTCCTAAGTCCCAAGGAGCTTTCTGCCATTCTGCATCGGTGAACGGGGCAGCTAAGGTCTTAGCCTAGCAGTGGCAGAGAGCGATGGGGCAGGACACCTTCCTTCTCCAAGACCACAGGTGACATTTGCTGTGAGGAGCACATGTCTGCATCTTATGAAAGGAGATGGTATTGTACTCCCCAGCTGCACAGATACCTTCTTGCTTCTTCAGTCCTGGTGTAACCAAAACATCTCCATGATCTGCCATTGATGCCTCTTCTCCATAAACGCACATGCAGCTACACGAAGTGGTAGAGGGAGCCTTAGAGAACAGGATCAAGCCTTGCAACAAGTTTCTAAAAGACATTTGCAATACTATCTTTGCTTCCCAAGGTCTGCTAGTAGCATCCCAAATCCTCAACCTGATGCCCCGGTTTTAAGAGGAGCATTCCAGGCAGAGGTCCAGTGTAGCTTATTCTAGTTGGCTTGTGATCAGAACAACTATTTGAAAAATAAGGAAACATATCAGCTTTCTCTGACTGTCCTCTTTTCATGTCCCATTGTAGCCCTATACATTTTTGGGGAAAGTTGACTTAGTTCTACTGAGAAGGATGTTGCAGAAAGACTTCCATTTTCAGACTTCACTGAGATTTTTCTTTTTAGCATGTATATTTGCACTTGTATGGGGTGGTTCAGTTGGACACCTCAGGAGGGATTCCTTGGAAGCTCACAATGTTTTGAGGTTAGTTATATTTACTGTGCCTACAGCTGCTTTCCAAAAAGCAGAACTAGTATTTTAAAAGAAAGACTGGATGCTTAAAAGCAGTCTCATGGATCTCACCTTCTTCAGAGGAACTGCGTGTCCAGCTGCTCTCAGCATTTTATGGGCTCTCAATCTGAGATTGCAATGGTTTGTGCTGCATCTCTAGATCAGCTGCTGTAAAGGAAATCATTATTTTTCCCCAAACACTGTCTCTGCTGCAGAGGAACACATGATTAATCAAAACAATTAGTACCTATCTCCTGTGAAGTGCCCATTTTTGTTTAGAATTGTCCTAGATTTTTGCTCCTCATGCCACCAATGACTCCTGACGTATAAGCATCACCACCACAGGACAGGAACGGGTATTTGCATTTGAGTATTGCAATTCTTTCCAATGAGTGGTTGCTGTTTGATCATACATGGAGCCTTCAGTAGAGTTTGCGGCATTTTCCTATGGCTACGTGAGGTTGAGATTTATAGGGAACCACTCACAGCAGCCCATCCATTGCAGTACTCCATCTCACACTTGTGCTCCTGCTACATTCTGGGAAGCAGAAGGGTTTTTGCATCCAGTGCTTCCTAGTCTAGAGGATTTCAGCAATGCTGGGACAAAAACTAAGCCTGGAGGGAATCCCAGCAGATGTTCTGCACAGAAGTTCATATTCAGGACTGTTAAAGCACAAACCTTAATTGCTGGTGGCCCATTTTCCAATGTGATGGTTATATTCTAATGTACCAGTTTTGCTTCAATCCTGCTTGATGCTGACACAACCACAGACTAAACTGCTAATCCCCCGTGTCCCCAGACAGCTTCCTGCTTGCACTGTCACTCTGCTTGCTCCCCACAGGCTCTGTGCTTGTCAGAAAATCTCTAAGTTGCGATTTCCATGAGGATCCACTAATGCATGTCCTTCCTGACGTGTTGGTTAACAGATCCAACCATTGAAGTGGTCAGTCCCATGCAGGATATAACTGTTGATGAAGATGGCACAGCAGAGTTCATATGCCAATATTCTAGGCCAGTACACGCCATATGGAAGAAAAATGATCAGGAAATACATGCAGATGGGCAGCGAGTGATTATCGATCAGGACTGGAATGTAAGCATGCTAAAAATTAAACCTACGGTACCAGAAGACACTGGCATCTATTCTTGTGAAGCTGAAGGCATTAAAGTGATGGCTGCACTTGATGTTCAAGGTGAGGTCTTCCAGCCAAAGAGGAAGACTATCATGGGTTCCAAATAAAAGAGGTGGAAAAATCATGGCAGCAGCTGGCAATAAGTGACACATCAGATACCTGCTCTTTGGTGTTCACTCCAGTACTGCTAAAGATGATAAAAGTAGTTGGGAGTTAATAGTAATTGAATATGAAACTGCGGCATTTCACTGTAGCTTAATTCTAATTAACGCTCACTTATTACACCACTTACACATCATACCTCTTCTGCAATGAACTGGAACATCAGTG